AATACCATTCGTGAGCGGCGTTATTTGCAAGAAACCGAAACACGAAACACACCTAATGACGGTCATACGGAATTACGGACGCTCCGTACACATGAAAATTTTCACCCGGAACTATACACGGGGAGGACCTATACACGAGGTTTTAGGGTAATTCACCCGACTCAAAAAAATTTCGTTTTCTCACAAAAATTTTGAGCTTTTTTGATACGCACTGCTTTTTGGAACATTATGTTCTCATCTTTACGGAAATCAGAATCCTCAAATTAACTACCCAGCTAATAGGAAAACTTGCCAGAACACATTTTTTCGAAAAATATTGATGCAAATTCAGAATTTCCACCTCTTTCTTGGTTTTTTTTTGGGAAAAACTTTACTTTTCTACGAGGTGAAATTGGGTATGAACATATCAGATAAATAAATCGTAGTTAAAGGCAAATTTTGAGATCGCAATTGATTAAAATCGATTAAATCGATGAAAATTCTGGTTTAATTTTGACTGCTATAATCATTTCGCCTAAGTATTAATAAGTACTTGGTTTAATTTAGCTATTGATCAGTATTTCAGGAAGGCGATTTGAACATCTTCTCGAAACCCATCCAGCCGAGTAAGGGCGAGAAAACGTCATTGGCAATTGGAGTACTAAATCGAAATCCCGATTCCCCGATTGTATGTTTCGGTTTTTCTTTAAAAAGAGACGTCAAAAAGTAGCAGTAGTAGGTAGTTCCTTTATTCCGGTACTGGAGTGTTAGCGGGGGGAATGGATTTTAGCGGGGGACTAATTTTTCCTAGTTGATCCGTATGACCCTATAACGATTTAAACTTATTATAAACCATTTATAGCGATTTACACAGTTTTAACCATAAAATGCTCATTAAAAAACTGTAACAATTTTCGAAAATTCATGAATTCTTGTTTTGAATTTTTTGAAGTGCAAAAAAATCAAAAATTTTTGATTTTTAAACATCTTTCAGCACTTTTATCAATTTCTAGCAATCTACAATTACTAACAAGGCAATAAAAATTATATATATCAGAGGCCGGAAACATTAGTTAATAGTTCCCCACCCCCGCTACCAAAAAGTACCAATAGTACCAAAAGTAGTACCAAAAGCCTTTTAGGACCACACATTCACTCTATCGTCATTGGGCCTGCACGAGCCGGTGGAGCTCATCGAAATTTGGAGCAACACCCAGTTCGGAAAGGTCAACCCGGACGCGTCGATCAAGGTAGGCAAATGCACCAACAACCTATTAAAATCAAAAATTCGCGATTAAATTGGTATATTAGTGAAACATTTATTTTTGGGTTCTTCCTGTTTAACGGGCGGAAACCTGATTTTTAATTAATTAATTTTTAAGCCTATACCTCCTGCCTGTTAATATTAAATAGGGTATTTCTATAATGGGTTCAGTAGCTTTGATCGCTAGAAGGTTATGAAAAAATGTTCTAAAAAACTGCAAACATTGAAAATCTGGTGTAGGCTAAAAATTACTGGTGCGAAGTACCGAACCGGTTCAATTTTCCCACAGCGATTCTAAACATTCTGAAACGTGCTTCCGCCAAAAACCAGTTTTCGATCTTATGGTTCATACCAAGCTGTCGTTATTGTTCATAAACGTAAAAAGAGATCGAGAAATTTTTAGAAATAGGGCCAAAAATAGCTTTTGACAAAACTTTCCACTGGTTCTTTGTAATACTCCATTTTTTAGGTTTTGTGATTTTTTCCAATTTTCACTTTAGTTAAATTTTACTACAAGCATTATAATACATAACGTTCCGTTCATAGGAATTTCTGGACCTATAGAAAAAAATAAGTTCCCCGTTAACCCTCACCCCCCGATATTGACAAAGCACCGCATCAAATATTCCTCGCCCCGGTTTAATTAAGGCTTCGAATTATTTTCAACAAATTTTAAGGAGTAGATAAGCGGAAAATTATCGACATTCTCGAGACCAATTAGCATGCCGTTTTCCGGCCCTGACACACAAGAATTCTGAAACATTTTTCGATCATTTATTCTGTCTATGTTAAAATATAATAAAAAGGTTGTATTATGCATTAGAATAATACATAGTACAATATCAAAATAATCTTTAAAAATTCAAACAAATAAAAGTCTTATAATCTACCTCTTAAAAATCATAACAGCAAAGATTTTATCTATTTTTTTAAGCTAAATCTTTTATTGTAATCTTAGAGATCTGGGTCAATGATTGTTAATATAACAGGTCAATGGATGATACTTTTTATTAAAACATTGAAATTCATAGTGAAGCAAAAACAACGAAGCAAATAATCAAATCACCAAAAAATAAATAAATTAATTTCAGGTGACAATCCACCCGGGCGACACCCTCTTCTTCACTGCCAACTTACTATCGGGTCAATGAAAAAAAATTTTAATTTCTAATATCATATGTGATTTTCTTATTTTTGTTGGTTAAAAAATTAATAAAGGTAAAAACACCATTTTGGAGGCGTCATCCTTCATCGAACGTACTAAACAAATTTATATATTTCATGTTTAAGCCAAGTCCGCAATTGTTGAAATGGACCAATCGACGCTTCCTGGGTTTAATTACGATGCATTGTATTCAGAAAAATTAAGTTCTTTCGCATTATCAGGGGGACCAACTTTTTCCTAAGATCCGATTTTTCATAGATAAATAGCGGAAGTTTTTATATACTGTTTTTACGATTCATAAAAGCAAAAAAAAGCACAGTTTTCATCCAATCAAAAACATTGATTTTTCGACCAAAACTAATTATATCAAAGAATCCCCCCCGATAATGCGCAAGAACCAAAAATTAACAAAGATGGTGATGTGCTAATTTACTGCGGTCGAAGGTTCAAAAATGGGCATCCAGGGAATAGTCCAATCCAAATAGCGATCAAACCAAAACGCCTTGCGATCATTAGTCGGCGACAAAATTTTTGGGAATCTGTAGAAATGAAACACACTTTTTCAAGCCCTTGATTTTATTAGCTTCTAAAAAGGTTTTAATAATAATAGTAATCAATAACCATAAGATTCAATCAAATAGTAGTGATAATATACAAAAACCTGTTTATAAATAAACTTTACTTATAATTCCCAAAAGCTCTCTGCTAGGTTGCGGTCCGGCGAAACAAAAGTGTAGTTAACATTTAGTTCCCGGAGCGCTTTCCCAAAACGGTTCTCTCTCGCTCTCTCCTTCTCTCCTTTTCGCTCTCTCGCTCTCTCGCTGTCCGCGTTCCAAATAGGATGATAACCCCCGGAACAGGAAAACAGCCTCATCATTTACTCGCCCCAAATTGATTGATTTTTTCCAATCGTTACCTTCCGATATTACTACAGCTTATATCTTTGTTCTATTTCTATTATGCAAAACGGATATCAACTCCCGAAATCCAAGCAAAAAACGAGCAATAATGGATCAGCAGCGGCCAGTCATGAATTATCGGATGAAGAGCTGAAACGACATCTGGAGGAGAACAGGTACACCACTATATGCGACTGAATATTAATTCGCTTCACCATACCCTATTTTTTTTAAATAGATGAAACATAGATTTTTGCAAAACGGTCTTCCAGGTTGTCGGAGGGCGGCTACCAGCTTTTTTCTAAAATAATATCGTGCTGGTGGACTAATTGAAAGCTGACCGTTTTAATGGACTTGTGCGCCATTTGAAGCGAAGCTGGGTGTTAGCCGGGGAGGAGACATTAAGAAACACGTCATAAAACGATGAAAATTTGTGCTTTTTCGGGGTAACGTGTACGAAAATGGTGAAAAACGCGGTATAAACCCCAAGATTTCGTGGCTGTAGGATGTGTTGTTATAATTTTTTATTTTCGGAAACTACTAAAAACTATTAAAATATACTACAATTTATCACTAGGAAACCTGGAAGCACCAGTTTTTTAATTAAAAAATGTTTTAATTTTGGTTGTTTCGCTTAACATCTCTCCGCTTCTACATTTTTTCTTAGGATCCATCTTTGAAACATAAATAATAGAAGTGTTTCAATAATGTTTTTACTAATCTCAAGCCCAATAAAACCTTAAAAATGTACTAAAAATATGAAAAAAAAGCGTTTTTCGACCAAAAATTCAAGTTTTCATATTCAAGCACCCGAAATGGTCGGTTCTCTAGTCGAAGGGAGGTTTTTCAAAAAATGTGTTGCAAAAAAATTGGATATTGAAGAGACCCTGCAACCGACTAATCGGTCTGATCTGGGCTGTTAATTGTTAAAAAAAATGCTTGTTTCCCGACATTAATATAATTAGCTTCGACATTGGCGCGATTGGACGCACTACCAGCATGTCGTCAAGTAAGCATTAAATTGACTAATTTATGTAACACTCAAATTGGTTCTAAAAAACCTAAAAATAGCATTGAAAAACCACAAGGACGGTACCCAAACGTCCAAGTGGTTTTTTAATGTTATTTTTAGGCGACGAAATAACGACAATCTGGAGCACCGACATCCAAAACCCCGAATCTCTAGATGTCGAAATCCTAAATGCCGATATCCCTAATAGCGAATAGATTGCACGATTTCGCTATATTGTACCTGCAGTGTTTTGGATTTCGGCACGTTGGGTTTCGATATTTTGGCTTTCGGCATTTTCGATCTTGGTCCTTTGGCTTTTGGTATTCTTGATTTCGATATTTTGAATTTGGGTTGTTTGGATTTTAGTATTTTCGCTTTCGGTATTTTCGTCTTCGATAATTTGACTTCGATATTTTGGATTTTGATATTTAAGATTTCGACATTTTGGATTTCAGTGTATTTTGGCATTTTGGTTCATTTGTTATAGAATTCGAGCTTTTAAATGTCGATATTTTAGATTTCGGCATTTTGGATTTCAGGATTCTCGCTTTAGGTATTTTAGCTTTAGATATTTTGCTGACATCTGACATTGTCTAAACAAATCAAAACCAAAAAATGTTGTAATTCTTTATCAAATATTTCATATAAGGAACGGGTAATTGCCGTGAACTTTAAAGTATCATGCCCTTGGAGTTCCCTTTGAATTTGGTGATAGATCAGTGTCGTTTAAAATCCGAAAAATTTCCAGATCCACTACGACGAGATCGCTGAGAACTGTAATTTGTGGCGGAATTTCGACGACGTCTATTCGAATTGGGGCTCAATCCTGTCGATCATCGATTTCCAGGCCGAAAATCAGGAGGAAATTGCGAAAGTGCAAAAGCCGGGCGCGTGGAATGATCCGGATATGGTAAGTGGCGCACTGAGAGCGCCTTTAACCTTTCAATAGATCGGCATTTTAGCCGTTTTGTTTCAAGTTCTGAAGAATTCACTGACAGCTCAATACAGGGACAATAAAAAATTTATTGCAAAAACAAGATGTTTTCAACACATTTTCGCTATTTGTCGGTATTCCTTCCAACGTATTTCGATAGCGCCTCAAAAATAGTCTCGGTGCTTTAATTTCAGCTCAAAATAGTGTAAAATAAAATTATTATGGCCAAAGCCAGTCGGAATCGCAAAAAAGTGTTAAACAATAATTTAATTCTTTGATTTTTAATATACTTTGTTTGTAAATTTTGGTCGTGGGTTGATAGCTGTTTCCTATGGCTACCTAATGGTAATCGTAAATTTGAGACTCGTTTACTCGAGCGGGGGGAGGTGCGAACGCGCTGTGAATTAGAGCCGTTGGCTCTGGAATATCTGTTGTGCAAACTTGAAACATAATTTTGTGGCTAACGATAAGCGCCAAATCTGCCGGGAATTGATCAATGTAGCCAAATGGCTTTTTCAGCTCGTTATCGGCAACGGCAATTTGACGATGGAGCAATGTCGATCCCAGATGAGCATCTGGTGCATTTGGAGTGCTCCGTTGATTATGTGAGTTTCAAAAAAAACTTGGAAAGGTTGGCCTCGGTTTTTCATTAATCCCTGCACGGCACTGCCAAAAATTTTTACTGATTACGTCCCTAATTTAATTTGAATGTTTACGTGTTTGAATGTTTACGCCATGTTTAAAGTATGTTTATGTTTAAAATTACGTGTATTTGAATTAAATAGTTTTATTAGCGCTAAGTTATAATTGACGGTACTTTTCAGGTCGACAGATCTACGAATCCTGAAAGCGCAATACCGCGAAATACTTTTGAATAAGAAGGCGATCGCCGTCGATCAGGATCCGATGGGAAAATTCGGCAAGCGGGTCTATAAGGTGGGAAAGACGTATATTTCTTATTATTTCTAAAATATATATTTTTGCTAAAAAATACAGTCTTCAAGCAAGCGAAAAATTAAGGAAAAGCCAGGCTCTGAAATAAAGCAAAAATTTACAATTTAGGCAGTCAAATCGAACGGCTATTATTCTTAATTTTTTCCCTAGCAACAGCTAATTATACAAAACATTTTTTTTACAAAAAACGTTTAAAAATTAATAATTTTTAAATTATAATTTTTGAATTATATAATTTATAAAGTATAAATTGATAAATTAATTTAAGAATTTACGAAGAGTTTCAAAATCTGACGCTATTTCTGGCTTTCTTAGGCGATTTTAAACATTTCCCGTTTTTCAATTTTCAAAATTGGCGCAGGATTCAACAAAATCGAGCATCCATAATTGAGCGCCTTACAGAGTATTACGACATGTAATTCACCCGGTTCAAAAAGTCGATTTTCCAAAAATAATTCGTTTTCTCACACATTTTGGAAGATTAAAATTTTCTCATCATCACGTAAATAAATAATTCCCAAATTAGCTACCCACCTCATAGCAAAATTGGCAAAACACATCTAATTCGAAAAATATTGGTTGTCGATTAAGAATTTCCTGGGCTTTCTTTGTTACTTTTTGGTACAAACATATATTTTCTACGCGGGTAAAATTAGGTATGAACATATCAGATAAATACATTTTAATTTAGACTAAATTTTTCAGATAAAACCGTGGTTAAAAATTATTTTGATTATTTCTTTTGCTATAATTATTTTATATGAATTAACTAATAAGTAGTTAGGTTTAATTAGCAAAAAGTTGCCTATTTCAGGAAGGCGATTTGAACATCTTCTCGAAACCCATCCAGCCGATTGAGGGCGAGAAGACATCATTGGCAATAGCTTTATTGAATCGAAATCCCGATTCCCCGATTGTATGTTTCATCCTTGGCTTCCACTAAGTTTCAACACAAAAAATTAATATGTAACGTTATCCAGTTTATCCGTATGACCCCACAACGATTTAAACTTATTATAAACCATTTATAGCAATTTACACAGTTTTTAACCATAAAATGCTCATTAGAAAACTGTAACAATTTTCGAAAATTCACGAATTCTTGCTTTTGAATTTTTTGAAGTGCAAAAAAGGTAAAAATTTTTGATTTTTAAACATCTTTAAGCACTTTTATCAATTTTCTAGCAATCTACAATTACTAAGAAAGCGATAAAAATTATAGATATCAGAGGCCGGAAATATTAGTTAATAGTTCCCCACCCCCGCTAACAGTCCAGTACCGAAAGCCTTTTAGGACCACACATTCACTCTATCGTCATTGGGCCTGCACGAGCCGGTGACGCTCGCCGAAATTTGGAGCAACACCGAGTTCGGCAAGGTCAGCCCGGATGCGTCGATTAAGGTAGGCAAATGCACAAACAATCCATTAAGATAAAAAATTCGCGATTATATTAATATATTGGTGAAACATTTATTTTTGAGTTCTTCCCGTTTAACGGGCGGAAAGCTGATTTTTACTTAATTAATTTTTAAGCCTATACGTCCTGTCTGTTAATCTGAAATAGGGTATTGCTATAATGGGTTTAGTAGCTTTGATCGCTAGAAAGTTATGAAAAAATGTTCTAAAAAACTGTAAACGTTGAAAATTTGGTGTGGGCTAACAATTACTGGTGCGAAGTATCGAAGAAGTTCAATTTTCCCACGGCGGTTCTAAACATTCTGAAACGTGCTTCCGCCAAAAACCAGTTTTCGATCTTATGGTTCATACCAAGCTGTCGTTATTGTTCATAAACGTAAAAAGAGATCGAGAAATTTTTAGAAATAGGGCCAAAAATAGCTTTTGACAAAACTTTCCACTGGTTCTTTGTAATACTCCATTTTTTAGGTTTTGTGATTTTTTCCAATTTTCACTTTAGTTAAATTTTACTACAAGCATTATAATACATAACGTTCCGTTCATAGGAATTTCTGGACCTATAGAAAAAAATAAGTTCCCCGTTAACCCTCACCCCCCCGATATTGACAAAGCACCGCATCAAATATTCCTCGCCCCGGTTTAATTAAAGCTTCGAATTATTTGCAACAAATTTTAAGGAGTAGATAAGCGGAAAATTATCGACATTCCACGAGACCAAGTAGCATGCTGTTTTCCGGCCCTGACACACGAGAATTCTGAAACATTTTTTCGATCATCCACTTCGTCTCTGTTAAAATATAATAAAAACGTTGTATTATGCATCAAAATAATACATAGTGCAATATCAAAATAATCTTTAAAAAGCAAATAAATAAAAACATATAAGCTACCTCTTAAAAATTAATACAGCAAAGATTTTATCTATTTTTTTAAGTTAAATCTTTTATTGTAATCCTAGAGATCTGGGTCAATGATTGTTAATATAACAGGTCAATGGACGATACTTTTTATTAAAACATTGAAATTCATAGTGAAGCAAAAACAACGAAGCAAATAATCAAATCACCAAAAATAAATAAAGTAATTTCAGGTGACAATCCACCCGGGCGACACCCTCTTCTTCACTGCCAAATTACTATCGGGTCAATGAAAAATCCTTTTTAGGTTCATATCATATGTGATTCACTTATTTTTGTTGGTTAAAAAATTAATAAAGGTAAAAACGCCATTTTTCAGGCATCATCCTTAATCGAACGTACTAGAGAAAAATTATATATTTCATGTTTAAGCCAAGTCCGCAATTGATGAAATGAACCAATAGAAGGTTCGTGACTTGAGGATGCATTGTATAATTCAGAAAAATTAAGTTCTTTCGCATTATCAAGGGGACCAACTTTTTCCTAGGATCCGAGTTTTCATAGATAAATAGCGGAAGTTTTTATATAATGTTTTTACGATTCATAAAAGCAAAAAAGCATAGTTTTCCTCAAACCAGAAACATTGATTTTTCGACCAAAACCAATTATACCAAAGAATCCTCCCCCCGATAATGCCCAAGAACCAAAAATTAACAAAGATTGTGATATGCTAATTTACCGCGGTCGAAGCTTCAAAAATGGGCAGCCAGGGAATAGTCCAATCCAAATAGCGATCAAACCAAAACGCTTTGCTACCATTATTCAGCGACAAAATTGTTGGTAATCTTATAGAAATGAAACACACATTTTCAAGCCCTTTTTTTAGCTTCGAAAAAGGTTTTAATAATAATATTAGTAAATAATGATGCGATTCAATCAAATAGTAGTGATAGTATACAAAAACCTGTTTATAAATAAATTTTACTTACCATTCCTAAAAGATCACTGCTAGGTTGCGGTCCGGCGAAACAAAAGTATAGTTCCCATTTTGTTCCCGAAGCACTTTCTCAAAACGGTTCTCTCTCGCATGCTCTCTCTCTCTCTCCCTCTCTCTCTCCCTCTCCGCGTTCCAAATAGGATGATATCCCCCGGAACAGGAAAACAGCCTCGTCATTTACTCGCCCCAAATTGATTGATTTTTCCCAATTGCTACTTCCCTTTATTATTACAGCTTATATCTATATTCTATTGCTATTATGCAAAACGGATATCAACTCCCGAAATCCAAGCAAAAAACGAGCAATAATGGATCTACAGCGGCCGGCCATGAATTAT